ACATTTAGGAAAGGTGAATCTCCAAGCATTGAAACAGGCCTGTTCCTGAGCAGTATTGTCTCTTTCAATCGAAGCGTCCCTGCAGGCTGCTGTATTTTATCATTCTGTGGTGAAAATTACTGCAAGAACACACACATTCACGTTATGCAAACTCCAAGTTTACAAACTCATCCAAGTTCAAATTCAACCATCCATGTGTGATTTCTGCTTGTTTGGATAATTTTAATAATTTGACTTGATTTTTAATCCTACTTTTGATGTCTTCCTCTGTTCTAAGAAAGGGACGCATGTGCAGCGGGTTCAGGAGGAATCTGGCTTCTATGTCTCTCTCAGCTGCAGAAATAGTTGACTTTACTGTTTCAACAGCAGCGCTGATTCCAGAAATCAGTCAGATGGTCTAGTCTCATACTGAAGTAAGAAGTAAAAATGAAATAGCATTTCTGGAAGTGAGAACAACCATTTCTCCACTGGGACCATCAGTGAAGGCCAAACTATATTATATATACTGTATTTCATCTAATGATGAAAGTTGTATAATGTTATTAAGTTATACATTTTAACTCTGAACTAAATGTGAATGGTATTATTCTTATGCTGTCTAGGAAACTTGTACATCATTATTAATAAAAGATAATTAACTTCACATTGTCTGGCTGTGTTTGTAAAAGCATATTTTTCCTTAAAATAAGCTAATCTGAAATGGATATCAGCAAACAGAATCTTCTGCTTTGCTCTTAAGGCTGAACTTCTTATACTCTTAAAATTTAAGAGCATGTGGAGTTTGGACCAGGCATGTTTTCTTTGGGCCTACAGGGATTTTCTCAGAGTGCTCCGACTTCCTCTGGACCTGCAAAGAGTTGCAGGTTAATAAGCGATTATAAATCTTAGCAATATGAATGAGTTTATTTGTTTGTCTTTGTCTTGGTCGTTTAAAGGTCTGGCAGCATGTCCAGGATGTTGACCTTGTTAGTGTCCCACACATTTACTGTTAAATATCCATTTTGTCAGTGCCAGATTTGTTGTTTATGCAGTTGAGTCTTTGCTCCAACCGCTTCTTTAATAAATCTTTTTATATAGCTTTTTTAAGAAGTCTAAAATGGTATAATTTTTTGTTTCTAAAGATATGTCTGACTTTAAATACACGAGTCGCAAAGATGTTTTTGTCAGGAGGTGCTGAAATGCTAAACAGTTATGTTGTTCTTATAGGAATTGTTGACATTTTAGCTTTTAATGTATTTTTGTTTGTCAATTAATTACATGTTTATTATTTTTAGTTGTCATCAAAACTGTGGCAAGTATTTGGATGACAAACTGGTTACTTTTAGTTGGGGAGATTACGAACCATTTATAAAGTCCTACAAATACATTGGCTATTTATTCACCATGTACTTCAGACAATTTTTACTTTTATACTTTATTTGAAACTTTGGGTCCTAATTACTGCAGAAGAGGTAAAATCCTCCCTAAAAAGCTGAAATTGTAGAAAGCTGTGATCTTATACACCTTGTTAGTTTTCAGTATTCAGCCAAATATGATGAAGTGTAAAAATATGCATATAAAAAAAATATAAAGATTTTTCTTTGTCGTACAGAAATACTTGAGGATAATTTGAAGTCCATCAGGTAACATCAGCAATGTGGTTCCTATGTTTTTCTTGAACTATTTCTGCAGTTTCCTATGATTTTCCACCTAATAAAACCCACTGCCAAGAAGAAATATTATTTTATATGGAATTTATGGTCACATATGTTAAAGCTACATCCACATTCATAGCAGGCTGCTTAGGCAGAATGCTGAGCAGATACAAATAAAAAAAGAGCACTAACAAATTATCCTTAAGATTTTATTTTGAACAAATTGACTATAGTGGCCTGCAAGTGCATTAAATTTGAACCTGCTGACCCATTTGATTAAAAGGTTTGGACGCCTCTGCTTGAGATCTTCTGAAACCTGTTAACCTGGAAATCCCAGAGCCAGATCTAAACAAGAAGGACCAAAACATAGTTTTTCTGCTACTTACACATAAAGGTCAGGTTTTATTTTAATGGGTAATTGTATTCATCTATTACCTTATTAAACCACCAATTTAATCTTTGCTTTTTTTAGTGTGAAGCTTAAACTTTATTATCATTGTTTTTAAGTGTGTCATGTTTTTGATTATCTTCATCTGTGTTGCTTTTACTCTTCTGTGAAGCAGATTGAGTCACCTTTTGTATAAATGCTGCTATTCAGATGGACTTGCCTACGACCAAGCAGAAAATAAACTGGTGACCACTCAAAGGTTTTAAATCCATTAGAGTTGGCTAAAAACAAGCACAAAACAAAGCTGAAGGGTGACTACTGTTTATGACTGCTGATGTTTCTGTAAAGTAGCTACTAAAACAGTGTTTTTTTACATCAACTTACCAGAAGCTGGCGTCTTCTTCTTTCCTTTGGATGTTTTTTTTATTGTGTTGTAACAGTTGTGTTCGCTCTTCTCATTGGTCATCTCAGATTGTTTGCCCATGAGGTCATCCATGCTGGCCGTGTTTCTCATCTTAGCCATCATAGGGGTCTTGTGCAGCGTCACAACAGCGCAACAGGACGACCCCGCCTCCATCCTCTCTGTGGACCCCAAGCTCTTCAGAAAGCACCGCTACTTCTCACCCAGGGTGCTTTTCAGCGCACAGCCCCCCGATGCGGAGCCAGCAGGGCTACAGGGCGTCAGCGGAAGGATTCAAAGGAATCCTCCAGAACGGGGGGTGTTCTCGGTGTGTGAGAGTATTAGTACCTGGGTGCGCAACAAAACCACTGCCACAAACATTGCAGGCAACGAGGTGACAGTCCTTGAGCATGTGAACATAAACAATATGAAAGTGAAACAGTACTTCTATGAGACAAAGTGTCTCGAGAATCCATCTGGAAACACGAAATGTTTGGGAATTGACGCGAGGACGTGGAGCTCCTACTGCAAGAACGTGGAAACATACGTCCGAGCACTGACTTCATTCGAGTCAAAGGTGACTTGGAGTTTAATTCGGATCAACGCGGAGTGTGTGTGTGCGATCAGCCG